TGTGGTGATTCCTGAATCCCATACAATGGATGCAGCTACACCAAGTACACCTCCTTCCTCACCAGCCTAAAAGTCTAGTTCCGACACCGAAGCCACTCCCCTTACTCCCAAAGAAGCTGATATTCTCTCAAAAGGCAATGTAACTTCCAGACAAACTTTCATGGCATTTCACTTTCTAGAGGCGTTCGCAAATGAATTTGTGCCAAGTACTTCTCATGATCACAGACCATCTAAAGGGGGTGATTCAGCAGCAGGCAGATTTGACAACATCACAAATCTTCCAGTCACAGTCAATTATATCAGTCATCCAATCCCAACCAGTGTTCAACACGATCATCTTATCCAGAACCTTATTGGTCCACTAGAAAGCAGGGTTCAGACCAGAAGTCAAAGTGGATATGTCAACGAGTGTCTTTACTCGTGCTTCATATCCAAAATTGAACTAAAGAATGTGGACATGGCTCTAAATGAACTGAGCTGGGTGGATGCAATGCATGAAGAGCTGAATTAGTTCGATAAGTTGAAAGTATGGCAGTTGGTAGAGCTACCGAAGGGTAATAAGTCTTTGGATACACGTTAGGTGTTTAGAAATAAGAAGATGATAGCGGGGTGATTGTGTGTAGCAAAGCTCGTTTGGTCGTTCGTGGATTCAGGAAAATAGAGGGTCTTGACTACACCGAAGTGTATGCTCCTGTGGCGCGTTTGGAAGCCATTAGTATATTCCTAGCATACGCTTCCCACATGGGGTTTACGTTTTATCAGATGGATGTCAAGACAGCCTTTTTGAACGGAGCCGTGAAGGAGGAGATTTATGTTGATCAACCACCAGGGTTTGTCAATCCAATGTTTCAAAATCATTTCTACAAATTGGACAATGATCTATATGGTTTGCATCAGGCTCCTAGAGCTTGGTATGCTACCTTAACTGATCATCTATTGGAGCACGGGTACACAAGGGGAACGATCGATTAGATGTTATTCATCAAGAAAGTGGATGCAGATTTGATTGTCGTCCAAATCTACATTGACGACATCATTTCGGGTCGTCCAGCACAGAGCTATGGAAAGAGTTCGAGGAAGTAATGAAGAAAAGATTTGAGATGAGCTCGCTGGTTGAAATGACAATGTTTAAAGGGTTACAAGTTCGACAGGATTCGACCAGAATTTTACTACATCAAGGCAAATACGTGGAAGACATGCTAGAAAAGTTCGGGTTTAAAGAATCAAAAATTGCTTCCACTCCAATGGCAGAAAGACCACTGTTGACGCCAGATCCAGAAGGAGAAACCGTAGATCGAACTGAATATCGATCGATGATCGGATCTCTAATGTATCTGACTGCCAGCAGACCTGACATCATATTTGCCATCTTTCAATGCGCTTGTTATCAGACTAATCCTAAACTTTCACATTTAATTGCTATTAAAAGGATTTTTAGGTACCTTAAAGGTAGCCCTAAAATTGGTCTTTGGTATCCTAAAAATCCCGAATTTGATTTGTATGCTTTTTGCTGACTACAAACTATGGAGGTTTTGATTTTGACAGGAAATCTACATCGGGTGGATGTCAGTTCTTGGGGGACTGATTGGTGTCATGGCAATGCAAGAAACAACAAACGTTGTCGACCTCGACGACTGAGGCTAAATAAGTTGCCGGCTCTGCCTGCTGCTCTCAGGTTATCTGTATTCACCACCAATTGTTGGATTACGGTTTGAATTTTCTTGACACCTCCATTTTCTGTGATAATGATGCGGCCATTCAAATTGCCAAAAATCTCGTTCAACATTCAAAAAACAAGCACATCGACATTAAAGTTCATTTTATCGAGACTGTTATGAGCGTAAGGTCATTCGTTTTGAACAAATTCACACCGATAACAATGTAGCGGATTTGTTCAACAAACCTTTCAATAAGGCTCGTTTCGATGTGCTTGTGAGTTTTTTGAAAATGATTCGTTTCAAAGACTAATTTTTTATTATTTATTTTTTTGTTTAAATTTACGCATTTATTTTATTTCATTTCTTCCTTATGCACAAATTTAGTGGGAGAAATCAAAAATTACAAAAAATTATAAAATAAAAAAAAAGAATTCAAAAAATATGTCTTCTTTCGTAAGTGTTCTTGGGAAGTGATATGAAGTTTAGTGTTAAGGGAAATATGAAATACATGTAATGCACTGAAGCTGAATTGTTTAGACTATGTGTTCAACGTACTGGTAGGCACAAAGGATTTAAAATGAAAGGGCTAGACACTGTTGACAATGAAAGGACTTGACAGTGTTAACTCATATGGACTTACATAGTTTCATTTGGACTAACCATACGCCGCTCGGATCGATTGAGCAGTGAGATAAAAAAGGGAGCCTACGAGATACATTAAACTTACTTATCATCTAGAACTGTGGCTCAACACTTCTTCGACGTACGGACTTATCTCCTTAATTTTGGTGCGGATAGGGTGACTGGGGGGTTCTGATAAAGTAGGTCTATATGAAATTGTTTTTCTTTCTTATCCTCTATGTCAGTCATATGTTACCCCCTTTGTGTGATTGGAAGAGATTCGACCTGGGACGCAACATATGCATATCTATTTCTATGCATCTCTCTGTCTATGCATCTCTCTATATATCTATGTCAGCCATATGTTTTCCCCTTTGCGTGATTGGAAGAGATCCGACCTGGGACACAACATATGCACCTGTCTATCTCTCTATCCCTCCATCTATGTTAGTCATATGTTGCCTCTCTGCGTGATTAGAAGAGATCTGACTTGGGATACAACATATGCATCTCAATATCTATCTTCTATCTCAAATAATTAACACTCACCTAAAGTAAAGAGATGTTCGGAATTCCTTGATTGCTAGGGTATGTCGTGAAGTAGGGAACATGTTCTAGTGCGCTTAAAATTGAATTGATTCATGACTAAAGGTTGAATGTAGATCTCGCTGCTGAATTTAAGTGGACAACAATATCCTTGGTCGTCGTCAGCAAAATAGTCTATTTAGGAATATAATTGCAATGTCTTGTTACTTATAATCTATCCAACTTGCAAATATTCTTTGTGTTTAAGTGGACCACAATATTGGTGATTGATCAGAGTTATCCATGTAGGTATGTGATGATAAACGATATTAAACTGCTTGATAAATTTTGATCCCAAAAGTTTTAAATTTAGTTATTAAAATGTGTTTGTTTTATTTTATTTTATTTTTATAAAATTTTTATTTTATTTTTATTTTTATTTTGCATTTAAATTGCATTCATTTCAAATTTAAAATTTTAGTTTATTTTATTTAATTTTTAGTCTAAGAAATGAATTATCGAAATCAATTTTATATGAATTGTTAAATGGATTTTCTTTTGGGGCCCACCGAATTCGGTGGCGTAAGGGCCGAGAACCCATTTAAGGTTTAATAGGGATTTTTTTGTTTCATTTTCATTTCCACTGCCGAAATCACCTTTCTTCTCTCTAAACCTAAGCGAAAACCCCTTTGTTCACTTTTCATCTGTTCATCTTCATTCTCGGCTCATATCATCAAATTTCTCTTGATTCTTTGCAATTTTGACTACGTTTGTGGATTTCGAGTAGCATGCTTCAAGTTTTATGTCCTTTCATGGAGTTTTTTGCAGGTGTTCAAAGGTTTTCCGGCGAGTTAATGGTGGTTTTCCAGCAAAATTGTTGAGGGTTTTAAAATTTCGAAACATCGGGTTTTCGGTTTGACCCGGGTCCGACCGAAATCGATCGAATCCGACCGAAAACAGCTTGATCTAACCGAAAACATCCCTCTTTGACCGAAATCTCAAGTTTGACCGAAATCACTATGTTTTGACCGAAATCACTTACCTTTGACATAAATCAACCTTTTCAACCAAACTTTGAATTTTTGAGAAAATAAAATTTTAATTTAATTTTTATTGTTCTCATTTGGCTCGTTTGGTAAAGATAAATGGCAGATCAGTTGAAGTTTGTTGATTCTCACAATATCTTTGGATATCTCCTGGATCCACCTGCCGCACACAATGAATTCAAATCCATGATCGTGGGTTTTAACAATTGCATAATTTCCCATGCTCTACGTGTCAATCCAGTCATACACAAGGACCTAATTAATGATTTATGGAGGAATGCATCACTCAACTGTGCAGGAGTGGATGGTGTTGGTGCTATTGAATCCTCTGTGAAAGGTAAATAGATTATTATTACAGAGCAAGTCATTCGAGAAGTGCTTCAGTTCGGAGATCAACCTGCTTTCCCAACAGAACTCCCTGCTGCCAAGATCACAGAAGTATTAAAGAGATGTATTACGAAGGAATTTTTCCTCCAACAGTCAAGAAGCTACTTCCCCCTTACTGGAGATTTTTGGCCTATACTTTTGTTAGCTGCATCTCTAGAAGAAAGGGCGGGTTAGAGGAGATAAGCCAAACAACAACATCAACCTTTATAGCACTAACAATGGACTGGGAGTATAATTTCTTAACATTTGTTTTTTGATTAAATGAGGAGGAACCTTTCTGGGAAAAAGAAGGATCTTTTCTTGATGTATCCTCGGTTTTTAAAAATGATATTTGATGCCATGCATCCCGAGCTGGAAAGGACCCGCAATACTCTTGATGTCAAATCCTTGGTTCCAAACTCCTTTGGACTCATGAAACAAGTACAGAAAGCGTCAGAGGTTGTTTTAAAGGGAACATAAGCACTGGTGAAATTTGGAAAATTCCCAGAGACAAAAGGTGTTCAAACTGCTGGTATTCCAATTGCTATGGTGGTCGAGGAACATGTGGGGCCATCAAAATCAAATCTCAGTTTTTCATTTGAGGTTTCTGATGATGATGATGATGTTAATGATGATGATGATGATGATGATGATGATGATGATGAGGATGTTTTGTATGTTTGAACCATCGAAGGAGCCAGTCAATGAGGCTGTAATTTCTCCAGCTGAGATAGAGAAATAAATCAACATTTTCAAGCAATCAAACGATCCATCGCCCGAACAGATGGAAGCCCATATCGAACAATTACAGACAACTGTGAGGAAGCCTCCCCAAGCAATTCCTGTTACTGATGAGTCTCCAGCTGGGAGTGATAAAGATGATTCAAATGCCTCTCTGATGCCAAGAAAACGAAGACGTAGAGATCCAAGGCTATGAGTGCTTAGTACTGAACCAGTACAACAACCAACTTCAAATGTGGAATCAGGCCAGGTTAATCAAGTTGATCAAAGCCAAATTGTTGAACCAGCCCAGCCAGCCCAAGTTAATCAAGATGATCAAAGCCCAAATTTTAATGAAGACTTCTTAGCAAATGAGGAAACGTTTGCCTCGGGAAGCTCTTCTGCCCCACCACCTGCAGAGCATGATTCTGCATCTGTCATGTTAGCCAAGCTACTTGCTTTTCAAGAGTCTATTCCTCAGTCAAGAGGAAAGGGAATATCTTGTTGGCTCAAGGCACGGAGGTGATGAAGACTCTCAACAAACCATTTCTTAGCTCAAACAAGAGATCATAATTTGGAAGCAGGAGTCCATTGAGAAAGACTTTCTGATTGGCAATTTGGATGTGAGAGTTTCTGAGCTTCAAAAGGAAAATTCTGAAAAGAGTAAGAAGATCTCAGAACTTCAAGCCAATCTTCGCGGGGTGACAACTCTCTATTTTGATCTCAAAGACAAATTAATTGGAAAATGTGGTGATGATTTCAAGAGTTCAGTTTCTGATGATGGAAAAGCTTCAGAGACATCTCAAAGAGTCGTGGTTCGTCATGCCCAAGATTCTAACCTTGATCAATTTCTGTCTTTTGACCCTGTCACAGCTGAAGAAAGAAGGGAGAAGCAGAGAAAAGTTGATGAGGCTACAACGACTATCGTAAGCAAGTTGAATGATTTACTATATTGGGTATATGATGAGGCTACAACGACTATCGTAAGAAAGTTGAAAAGGGATCAAATTTGTCTTCTAAATCCTAGGGATTTGCTGAAATTTGGCGAACATGACATTTATACTTTATCCCAACATCAGCTTATGGTGGAAAATGAAATGTTTGAAGCTGGTACAAAGGCTTGCACCGGCATGATAGCGACAATCATTGATAAGAGGCTATGGGCAGGAGCGTTAGCTGATTCTGATGTTCAGCTTGTGGAGAAGCCATAAATTCAACCAACAATAAACCAAGGGGGAGATTGTATGGTCATATTTAAATGGTTTATGATGGCTTTCTAGTTTATTATTGTACTTGGTCTTAGGAATGTTTATTGTTAGTGGGCTTATGGTGTTTTCGGTTATGGGGACCGAAATCACTTAGTGATTTCGGTAAGCTTGGGCTTGGGCCTGTTAAGGCTTTGTACTAGGTTTGTATAAATAGCTTTTCAGCCGTTTAGGAGTTCTAGTTGTTGATCATTATTGTATTCGGTTGTTAAGAAGTTCTTGGTGTACCAGACGATTTCATCTAATAAATCATGTGCAGTAAGAGTTATTTGTGTGTTCTTTAATCACTATCTAATTTATATTCCACATTCTTTAGATAGTTTGATTGATATGATATTGATCTAAGTTTTTTAGGACTTACATTCAACTCCCGATAATCAATACACATCATGTGCGACCCATCCTTCTTTTTTACAAACAGGATCGGTGTTCCCCAGAGGGAACTGCTTGGACGAATGAGTCCCCGGTCTAGCAGCTCCTGAAGCTGCGTAGACAACTCCAACATCTCTGGCGGAGCTAGACGATATGGCGCCATGGCTAACGGAGCCGCACCAGGCACTATATCGATACAAAACTCCACTTGTCTATCGGGAGGCACCCTAAGCAATTCCTCTGGGAATACATCAGGAAAATCTCACCGATCGTAACCTGCTCATATCGGCGTGGCCTCCACCTTGTATCAGAACATAAGCCAAAAATCAAGAACAACCCTGCTGAAGGAGTCTCCTAGCCCTTGCAGCCGAACAAAGAGCTGGCCCATGCGAGGCTCTCTCTCCATGAATAACCAGTTCTCCCCCACTTGGGGTTCAAACTCTCACCAACTAACGCTCGCAATCTATTATGGCCCTATTGGGCCCCAACCAATCCATCCCGATGATCACCTTCAATCCTCGCAAAGGAATCAGAACCAAGTCAATAGAAAACCTCTCCCCTAACATATTCAGAACACTCCTCCCAATCTCCACCTCGAGTGGGGAATCCAAATTTCACTGAGCATCCCGAAACTTCTTGCTGAGCGCAAGAGATACAAACGATCGGGTAGCCCCCGAATCAAAAAGAATCTGGGCCGACAAACCATTGACCAAAAAGGTCCCTATATAAAATCATAACATCATAAGAATAATAATAGCAAACAAGTCAAAAATAGATCACATACCAGTCATGACGTCAGGCGCTGCTCGGG